TCCAAATTCAGCTCAGATCATGATCTCACAGTTTGTGAGTTCAAGCCCTGTGTAGGGCTCTGTGCTGACAGCTCAGAGCCTGGAGCCTGCTTTGGATTCTGTGTCTCCCTCTCTCTCTCTCTGCCCCTCTTCTGTTCACCTCTCTCTCTCTCTCAAAAATAAACATTAAAAATTTTTTAATAAAATAAAATACACATTTTTTTTAAAACAGAGATTTCTAAACTGCCAAGAAACATCACTGCACTTCAGAAATTACTAAGAAATTATAAAGATATTGTACAGGAAGGAACTCAAAAGCCCAGTGGGGGACGTGAGAGAATTAGAAAAAATATGGAGAACAAAACAGGAAAGAGGAAAAATTAATAAAAATAGCTCTGAAGATACAGTCTTCTATGACTATGTGAAGTGGGTATAAATCAAACTATGATCTGGTTCTAAGCAACTAATAACACAAAATACGTTACAAAAGACAAGATACCAGAAAACAAAAAAAAGGATACCTCTATGTCAGTATGGGTCTAAACTAGCTTTCTCAGTCTTGACACCAATGATATTTGGGGCCAGATAATTCTTGTTCAGGGGGACAGATCTAGCTAGCTTCTACTAGATGTCAGTAACAACCATCCAAGTCTTCAGACAATGCCAAATGTCCCTTGAAGGATAAAAATCACTCCTGGTTGAGAACTACTGGTTCTCAATGAAGGAAATTAAGTGCTCGGAGCAATTAAGTCTGCTATGTGAAAAATAAAAGATACAATGCTGTTTGCTTTACAGAGTGCCTGGCATATAACAAGCATTCAATAAATATGTATTGTTAATAAAATTTCCCCTTTAAAACTGATTGCATTAAGTATTTAATGGCTCCCTGAAAACTTTGAAAGTTTGAGCCCAATCCCAGTCCAAATTTCTATTTATTACAAAGTTTAAAAAAAGCAATAAAATTTACTATATACATACTCTTTATATATTCAAATGACTAGCCACCACTACCACCCCCTGAAAACAGCAGAGCCACTTAAGACCACAGTGTTTATGTCACATTAGGCTTTCCATGCAAATGCTTCCTCCCGTCCATCTTTTTTCAAGATGAACTACTCCAATTTATTTATTCAATGAATATATTCTGAATGCCTACTATGTGCCAGCACTGAAAATAAGTACTAAAGATGTAAAGGGAGAGACAAAAATATCTTCCCTCAAAGAACTAAGAGTCTGGTAAAAGCCTACAAGTAAACAAATAGGTACAAAACCATATAAAAAGAAGTTGTTAAGAAACCAGAGTACGGAGAACCTGAGACTACCTCTTCAAGGGTTTTAAAGAAAGGTAAAGAGAGATGCTGATGGCTGAACTATGCGTTGTTTTTTGTTTTTGTTTTCTAGGGGGTAGGAAGGGTATACTAAAATTCTGTACTATAAACTTTCTTCAGATAGGTCTCTGATGGATCATAAATTCAACATATATCTATTACTACACTGTCTTGACAAAAAAGAAGTTTCAGTTATACCTAATATCTACACTTAAACTTTGACAAATACTTTCTCAAGATCAAAGACATTTATATCACTTAAAATTTGTTTTTATGAGAATGCAAGCTGGTGCAGCCACTCTGGAAAACAGTATGGAGGTTCCTCAAAAAACTAAAAATAGAACTACCCTACAACCCAGCAATTGCACTACTAAGCATTTATCCAAGGGATACAGCTGTGCTGTTTCGAAAGGACACATGCACCCCCATGTTTATAGCAGCACTAGCAACAATAGCCAAAGTATGGAAAGAGCCCAAATGTCGATCAATGGATGAATGGATAAAGAAAACATGGTATATATATACAATGGAGTATTACTCAGCAATCAACAAGAATGAAATCTTGCCATTTGCAACTACGTGGATAGAACTGGAGGATATTATGCTAAGTGAAATTAGTCAGAGAAAGACAAAAATCATATGACTCACTCATATGAGGACTTTAAGAGACAAAACAGATGAACATAAGGGAAACAAAAATAATATAAAAACAGGGAGGGGGACAAACCAGAAGAGACTCACAAATATGGAGAACAAACTGAGGGTTACGGGAGGGGTTGTGAGAGGGGGGATGGACTAAATGGGTAAGGGGCACTAAGGAATCTAGTCCTGAAATCATTGTTGCACTATATGCTAACTAATTTGGATGTAAATTTTTAAAAATAATAA